TATTACCCACATTTTACAGATGAGGAAACTGTTAACCAAAAATGGGGTGAGAAGGAACAGCCCATATAATACAGAACTATCACCAGCGGCCCCATTTCCATAACTCTACACTAGTCTAGATCAAAGTTCTTTGAGGCAATTAGAATTCCTTTTCACTACATATAAAACTTACAAAATATGCAACAAAGCTAAAAAAAAAAGTTTACAAATGAGTCAAGAAGGCATAGTCTTTCTGTGTTTTGAAAAGGTTACTGTATCTTTATTTCAAATAGCTCATTTAGGTTGGAAGCATATGCCACTATTACTTTACATAATATGACTTTATAAGACTTGAATTTCAAACATCACCCAAGGCAGACCTTATTGTGTTCATTTAACTCCCCCCAAAATCCACCTGGATAAAGTTTTTTCAGGGCAACAGTAAATTTTTTAAAAAAAGAACAGACTTGTTTCAAGGTGGAGGGGGGTAGGGGAGGGATGGATTGGGCATTTGGGGTTAGCAGATGCAAACCACAGAGAACGGGTAAACAAGAAGGTCCTACTCTATAGCACAGGGAACTCTATTCAACATCCTATGATAAATCAAAATGGAAAAGAATTTTTTAAAAAGAATTTATATATGTTTAACTGAATCACTTTGCTGTACAGCAGAAGTTAACACAACATTGTAAATCAACTATACTTCAATTAAAAGAAAAAAGAAGCATGGCGGGTCTTCATAAATAAGCTAAAATGACAGTGCTAGGAGGTTATAGCTGGTTTTGTTTTTTATTTTACGTCCTTTTTCGAGACGAAGAAAACCGCCACAAGTTGGCAACCAGGAAGTCCTCTTAATTTTTTTTTAATTTTTGTTTTTTTTGTTTTTTTTTGAGTGTCTGTGAAAGCCCGGGGTGGGGTCTGGGAAGGACTGTGTTAAACACCAACCTCAGGAAGCACTGCAGTTGGAGAGATTCATTTTCACCCTCAGCCAAGATACGCAAAGCTAATTATGGAACCGTTAATTACTAAATGTTTAAAAGGTTATTTGAAGGTGACTAAGTTTCCACCGATACTGCAAAAGAATGTTAATAATTTTTACCATAAATTCAAGTCCTCGCTTGTTCAGAGCCACATGCTAATACAGTTTGAAATTGGTTTTTCAGTAATAAATGTGTATTTTTTTAACCTCCAAATTCAAATATCATTGTTATGAAAGCTAATGCGTGTGGCCAGTCATTACTTTGCGAGCCATGCTTTTCAAAAGTGCACCCAGACCATTTAGTTGTGTTTTACGAACAAAAACTACTTAAGGAACAAATTATTTATTATTAGAGCCCCCAAATGAGCCAAAATATAATCAAACTATAAGTTGTCAGATGAAATATAAGACTGCTCATAAACAATGATAAAAAAGAGATGGAAAACTTATCTGTCATAGACACAATTCTTCCACTGGATTTGAAAGTTAAATATTCATCAGAGATACTCTTTTGTGCAGATTCTCATAACTTAAAGTTCTCTGGGCTAAAGGCACTTTTTCAGCCCTCTCATTATGACTCAAGACATATGCTACTGAGTGACTTTTGCAAAGAACTAAGTCTTGCACTGTTAAGAGCTCTCCAGTGACAAATTCATGATTTAGCAACTAAATCACAAGGTGTAATAGCCAAAAAAAATTTTCAGTAGTGAAGAACAAAGTAATATTACTAGGAAGGGATGAGGCAGCAGATTTTACACAAGCCGTTTTAAAAAGTAACTTTTACAACTAGCTAAAAACACGTCATAGTAAATCTTTAAAGTAGAAGAATATTCTGCAATAGATGTTTCACCTGAAAAACTAAAAACAGGCATTTATACACTCTACCTAAGCAATCTGAAAGGGTCTGAATCCAATAAGTTAATAATATGGTTTAGAAAAATCATTTTATTGTTTAAAGACTTGGGGGGAAAGCTGTTTGTAATTTATTTACATCTTTCACTTCACTTAATTGCTTAGGTGACCAAGCTTCCCATTTAAGTGATTAAAGACACAAACCCCAACAGTTTAATAAAGCAGTTACTTAAGAGTCCTGTTTTTCAACAGAGGTGCACTGAAAAATATTAATAGAACATTTAGTGCTCCTTATTTTCAAGGAGGTTTGTTATTGAGAATACAGTGCCCCACTGACTAGAACTTAGCCACTTTCCAGACACACAATATGGGACACACATTGGATTAAAGATGGCTTTTCTTGTCCTCTCAGAATATCAGGTGAAATAGTGACAGCCCCTGAAATACGAATATGTGAGATTTAGCTAAAATTCGAGTGACAATTTTGTTTCTCCTTGCCATTCCCCCTCTAGTGACGTGCCTAAACAAACGGGAAAATGGGTTTCCATTTTCCAGGTGGGCATGAAAAGCTTCCTAATTTCATAACACTCTTCAAAGTTCCTGTGTTTGCACTGAGGCTCTCCCCACCCCCAGATTCTCTTGGAGCTAACCTCTTAGGTTACACGAGTGACAGCACGATTACTTATAGGCAACTGAGTGACCTTGTACAAAACCACATCTTCACAGGGTTTGGGAGACAAACTGGGTTGGTAGGGTTAAAAAAAAGAAAAAAGAAAAAAGGAAGAAAATGAATTTAACAAAGAATATTTATATATTTTCCTCTTTTAAGACACCTTTCTCTTGCCTGCCGTAAGAATCGTACAAACTCCTTCACCATATCTATCCTGAGAAACAGAAGGAAGCATGACAGCAAAACTTCCCTAATTCGTATCCGTCTGTCCGTATCAAGTTTATTTCATAACTTGGCTTTTATATTACAAACTTCTAACCCTCGAGCACTCAAGAGAAAAGACAGGGCAGAAAAACTTCCGGCCCTTGCATTCACAAAGCACTCAACAGAAAAGGCACCTGCTACCAAAACATTTTTTTTTAACTTTTGAGTAAATTTCAAACTTTCAGAAAAGTAATTATTTTTGACAAGCCAGGTGAAGGTGGAAAACATTCACATTTCCATCTACTTTCTCTTTAAAATAATAAACAAACATGTAGGTCCGCATTAGTAATAACCAAGGGAGCATCAGTGTTAATAGGGTGGGTACTTATGAATGTTCCAAATGTTTGGTAGGCTTCTCTAAGGTGACTGGTTCTGTGAAAGTATGGTGGGGGAAATGTGCTGCTTTCAGACGGTCAGCGAAGCGTTCACATTGCGGTGTCAGTAGCAACTGGCCCACTTCTGACTCGGGCCAAGCTCTGTGCTGGTCGGTTTTCACTCTGCTCTCCACAACCGGCACGTCAACAGGGAAATTTAACAGCTCATTTCTCTGGCACAGTCAGCACGCGGTCACAGTGGAGGTTCTGTCTCTTCCAGTTTTGTTGGGGGACACACCCCCCTCCACCCACCTGATAGCAGGTTTGGAGTCATTGCTATTCTAATCAACCAACCGGAGATTCCACTTCCCGGCTCTCTAACTTCCACTCAAGGCCTCTGACATCATTTTCCGACCTGCCTTGCTAGGTTCTAATATTCTCGGCATGTGTGATTTCACTTGGCACTTCAAACACTGAAAGGGATCGAAACATTTCACTGAAATGGGCTCCTCCATCACACTGTGACTGAGAACGTGCGTTTTCAGCTGCAGAAGACTGACTGACTGACAACTTAAAACCGACAGGAGATGCAGAAGGCACATGAGAAGCAGTGCAACAAGAGCAAAAAGCAGGACCTTCCTCGTTTTCGATAAAGTAATCCTTTGGATTAGGAACTTTCTGGAGACACTGTGAAATGAATTTGCCTTGCAAGATTACCACCCATATTCCACAGTCTGGTAAACGAGTGCAATCTACCTACGATCCCCAGATGTGCCGGCTCCATCAGAAAATAAATGAAAAACCAAAAACCGCACCAGGTGCCATTCCTGGGCCTTGTCCAAAGGCAGCCAGTGGAAGCGTCTATTTTATTCTCTTTGCCCCGCATTAAATAATGACAATCAACAGCAGAGGAGGAGAGCCTTTGGCTCTGAACAGATGGCATCCAACACCTAACAAGCGAAGCAACTCTTTCAAGCATTAGATCCTAAATGTCTGATGGTCCCAAGGATCAGGAGGGCTTATTTGTCTTAAGACAGTTGGCAGCAGGATCCCCTGTAGTCACCATCCCGACGCTTAGGAGCATGCGTCATTATCCAGTCAGCAGCTAAAAGCAAAAAAAATCAAACCACCACATTTTTATAAAATTTCCCCCTCTCTAGTCCAACTTGAGACGACCAGATCCACCACCATCAGCAATTCCTCTACTTAAAGCCAGAGAAAAATAAGCCTGAAGGTAAACGAACGTATGAAGGTTAACAAACTTATCTAATTTTGACAAGGTTGTGCAACACCAAAAGAATCCGCAGGGTACCCTTCCTGGGGCTGTATCTGAATATGCCTGCTCTGCAGTTCTGTCTGCAGTTGAAACTAAAAGCACTAACCTAGCTATTCAACTTCCCCCCCACCAACCCCTTCCTTGCAAAGCGGCATCACTTTTCCAAATAAAAAAAAAAGGAAAAGAAAAATAGTAAACACACAAACATGTCAACCTTTTACTTTAGAAGACCAGCACGGGTTCGCGTTCCGCAGAGCCCTGCAAGTTTCCTCCTACACCTCTGCAAACGCCGAAGAACTCTGAAGGTACCAGGGGCCACAAGCCGGGGGAGGCAGGGCGCCTGCGGCCGGGGTGGGGGTGGGGGGCAGGAGGGGCCGGCCGAGGGGAGGTGACTGCCCCCCGCCCCGAAAGGCTCCCGGGCCCCGCGCTAGGCTGGGCAGAGGGGACGCTCGGGAGAGACCTCCCTGCCCCGCGGGGCAATCGCAGGAGAAGATCGGTACGGGGAGAGCAGCGAAAAGGAGAAGATCCAGGAGGGGAAAATAACGCCAGGACGGCCAGGGGAGACGCGGAGACGCGAAGCCCCTGGAAGCTGGGGACCTGACGCGAGGCGCGGGCGCGCGGGGCGAACGACGTGGGCAGGGAGCGCGCAGCCGACGCGGGGCTCACCTGGGGGGTCCTCTCGGCCGGGTTCTTCATCACCGCCTGGCGGAAGCTGTTATCCACGTAGGACGCCATCTCCCCCCGCAGCCCGGGCCGGGGCCGCTCCGCGCCCTCGGCCGCCGCCTCCCGGCCCAGCGCCGCCGCCGCCGCCGCCGCCGCCTCCGCCCTGCGCGCTCCGCCCGCCTCGGGCCAACCAGCCAAACCGCGGCGGCGGCGGGGCGGGGGGCGCGCGAGGCCCGAGGGTCCCCGCGGCGCCCGGCTGCCGGGAGCTCCCGCTTCCTCCGCCTCCCCCGCGCCGCGCGGCCGGGAAGGCTCCCCACGGGCCCGGGCTCGACACGCCTCCCCGGCTCCTCTCGGGGACGGCGGCGGCTCCTCCCGCCCCCCGCCGGCCTGAGTTATTTTTAGGGAGTTCGAGCGGCGGGGAGGGGTTGGCTGGGGCGCACGGGCCTCGCGCTCCTCCGCGCGCAGGGCCGCCCCCTCCTCTCGGGGGCTCCGGGAAGCACTCGGGGGCGCCGCGGCCGCCGTCCGATGACCGGCTCAGGTCAGGGCACTGCGAAGCCGGGTCGCCTCGGCCGCCGTCCCCGCCGCCGCGCCGCGGCTCCGTCTACTGCGCTTGGCCGAGCCCCCCGACGGCTGCTGCATCCCCTCGGGCCGCCCCGCCGCCGCCGTGCGCTCCGCCGCCGCCCCCCATCTGCACGCGCGGAGCGGCCAGAGCGCCCCCGGCTGCGCGCTCGGCCCGCTGGCTCTCGGCAACTTTGTTCCCGGGCTGCGGGCGCGGAGGGAAGGGGTCGCGGGCACCGGGTTCGGACTCCTGGCGGCGGGCGTCGCGCACAGCCCCCCGGAGAGTGTTTGGGAAGCGGCGACTCCCCTCCTCTTCCCCGCCTCTTCCTCCTCCTGCGCCCCCGCGCCGCCCCGCCGCGCTCAGGGAGGAAGCGGCCTCCGGGGCCGGGCGCTTTGTGCTGCAACCATGGTGAAGAGCGAGTGACGGGCCGGCGGCCACTGGAAGCGCGCCGCGTCGGCGGGGGCGGGGCGTCCCGGCGCCGGGTCCCGCCCCCGCGCCGCCCGCCCGCCAGCCGGCCGCGCCCTCGCTCCGGAGCTGCACCTTTGGCGGCCCAGGTGAGCCGAGCGCCGGGCGCCCGGGGGTCGCCGCGCCCGGGCCGGGCTGGAGGGGGCCCCGCACCACCTGGCCCGGGGGGGCGGCGCGCCCCGGCTGCCGGGCGGAGATTGCAGCTTCCCCTCTGGCGGCTCACGCCGCGCCGCCGGCCCACACCCCACGCGCGTCCCGGGGGACCTGCAGCGTCGCGTCGCCCCTCCAGACTGCCCCTGGCGCCACGCCTCGGCCGCCGGGGCGGCACGTCGACCCGGAACAGAAGCCCGGCCCGCAGCTTGGGCCGCCCTGGGCAGTCGTTTTGAACCCAGGGGTTGGCTCCGAGTCGCTCCAGAGGCGATCAGTCCTCTAGGGATTTATTTGGCTTATCCTTAACTTTCTGCAGGGACAGCGTTCCTCTCCTGCCTTCCATGCTCAGCAGGGCACCTTCAGACACTTAAATGACCAAGAAAGGAGGGAGATGGAAACGTGCCAGTTCAACCCTAGACCAAACACCACCCCCAGACGGGCGAACACTCCAGATTTAAAGGTGAGACCCGGACAGCAAGTTCTGTGACATAAGCAGAAACACTGGCAGATGTGGCTTGGCACGAGCCGGGTAAACGTCCAGACCCCGGATCCGACCCGGAGTCACTTGGTGCAGAGGCACTAGGACAGAGCCCTTTAAGATGTCACCAGTCCTGCTGTGTCCTCCCCCCTCACACGCCCACCCGCGAGCCAGGTCGAGGTGTGTAAGGCCAGCCAAGCAGCGAGAACAGCTCTGGAGTCCTGGTCCTAGAGCTTGATTATTATTATTATTTTTTTTTGTGGGGGTACGCGGGCCTCTCACTGCTATGGCCTCTCCCGTCGCGGAGCACAGGCTCCGGACGCGCAGGCTCAGCGGCCATGGCTCACGGGCCCAGCCGCTCCGCGGCATGTGGGATCTTCCCGGACCGGTGCACGAACCCGTGTCCCCTGCATCGACAGGCGGACTCTCAACCACTGTGCCACCAGGGACGCCCCTGGAGCTTGATTTTCATTTGGCTCCCCTTCCCCACCCGCATCAAGTTCGTGCTTTGCTGTCTCTATGGAGGCCGCACTCAGAGGAGGATTGCTACTTTGAGGACCTACCACGCTGGATACTTTTCAAATTTTCAAACATAACTTTTTCGACATCTAGTTTATTGTAAACACTTGGAAGAGGTTATGAACGAACGTTTTAGGGTCCCGAAGTCACCTGTGTGGCATTAAACAGATTGTGTGGCTTCCAAGAGACGGGACCGTCCTGGCCGAACCTCCTGAAACAATCTTACAAATTATCTCTCTAGACCCTTGATGTTACCCTGTGCTCCAACTGCTTCCCCATATTTCTCTCGAAGCCCTTAGTTGAAACTCAGCATCCAATTCTTTATGACCTAGACCACCACCACCTTGAATAAGTGCCATTACAGCTCTGTGAAGAGAGAGGAGAAGAAAAGTCAGATCCAATGAAGTGAAAAAACGTACCTGACATCTCCATCTGGTGCCCGGTAGACATCTCAGACTTCACCTGCGCAAACCAGGCTCCAGATCTCCTGCCCCAGACATGCCCCAGCCACAGACTTCCACATTCCTGCTAATGGCATCTACCTCTGTCACCCCTTGCCCAGGTGAAGAGCCTTGGCTTCTTTCTTGACTCTTTCCTTTCTCTTACCAACCCCCCCACCCCGGGTTTCAGTAAACCTGTCAGCTCAACCTTCAGAGTGCCATATCTGGAATCTAACCTCTACCCACCACCTCAATGGCCATGACCTTGGTCCACACCAGCATCAGCTTTTGCCTGAGCTTTGCAGTAACCACTTACCTGGCCTCCCTCTTTCTGCCCTTGCCTCCAGCACCAGGGAGTCGGGGTGAGTCTTTTCACTCCAGCTCATGTCATTCCTCTGCTAAAAACAACAACAAAGGGCTTCCCTGGTGGCGCAGTGGTTGGGAGTCTGCCTGCCGATGCAGGGGACACGGGTTCGTGCCCCGGTCCGGGAAGATCCCACATGCTGCGGAGTGGCTGGGCCCGTGAGCCATGGCCACTGAGCCTGCACGTCCAGAGCCTGTGCTCCGCAACGGGAGAGGCCACAACAGTGAGAGGCCCACGTACCGAAAAAAACAAAACAAAACAAAAAACAACAACAACAAAAGGTCCATTAGCTCCCCACCACTTTTTTTTCTTTCAAGGTCCTTATTTATCATGGCCTAAATGACCTATAGACCTGGTTCTCCTTCCCTCCCCACCCCCGCCCCTTTATCTCTCTGACCTCATCTCCTACTATTCTACCCCCTGCTCATTTCCCAGCCACACTGGCCTCCGTGCTGCTTCTAGAACACAGCAAGCAAGCCACAGTCTCATGGCCTTTCCTTCTGCTGTTCCGCTGCCACCTGAATTAGTGACCCACTCCCCTAGGCCACCAGAAAACCAAACCAAACCTCGAATGGTGTTCCCTCGCCTCCTTCGTGTCTTTATTCAAGTGTCGCTTTCCCGTGCCTCCACACGCCCTGGCTCTCTCCCTTGCCTTGCTCGCCGCCATCTGACACACGACGGAGTTTACTTACTTGTTTTATTTATTGTGTCCCTCCACCATAACGTACGCTTCCGCCGTCAGTGATTTTTTTGTTCCTTTTGTTCACTGCTGCACCCCCCAACGTGATGTAAATGAATGAATAACTATAGTGCTACCTTGTATGTGTATGGAACTGATACGTACATGATCTCTGTTGGGGAAGGGGAGGCTAGGAGAGAAACGTAACCTCTCTGAGCCTGTTTTCTCTTCTTGTAAAAGCAGATAAAGATGGCCTACCCGGAAGATTTTCGAGGATCCAGGAGAATCCACGCCAAGTGACCGTGACTTGTAAAGCGCTTGAACCACGGTGTGTGCTCAACAAATGGTGGTTATTTTTAAGATCGTCCTCATCATCCCAACCCTCTGAGGTTAGTGGAACGGTTATTATCATTCCTGTTTACAGATGAGGTAACTAAGACTAAAATAGGTTATGTGACTTGCCCTAGTTCCAGGCCTGCCTGGAAGTTTGGAAGGGCCCAGGGCAAGCTAATGTAGACCCCATCGTAAATGCCTAAAGCTGTAAATTAACTGGAACACAGTGTGGCAGTGACTACTGGCTTCCGACCTGAAACTCACACCCCATTTTCTTCCCATCTCTGCTCCATCATGTATTACAAAAAGGCTCATACACGCGAGGACACCCTAGCCTGCGCACCATACCCCTCACAAAAGCTACCCCCTGGCGATTCCTCCAGCCTTGGACAGTCAGGCCTGGAAGTGGCAGGGCAGTAAGTTCCAGGGCCTAAGGTGTTCAGAAAGCATGGAATTCCTTGTCCCATGGGGAGGGTGAAGCCGGAGCAGGGCCCCTCAAAGCCTAGGCAGTGGGCAAAAACTCAACTCACCCAGGCCGCACAGCCAGAAAGCTGTGACTTACAGATGCAAACCCAGCTTTTTTTGTTCTGAGTGCTCTGCTGTGATACTGAATTGCCCCAGTGACCTCAGGTGAGGCCTAATAGTATGTCTTGTCCACCAACAAAATGACTAACTCGCTGTCAACCTCTAAGCTATCATTTAATTTCAATTAAAGTTAATTTTCCCGCTACTTATAATTACTTATGTAAGTACGTTAATAATGCCATTCGGCATCTAGGACACCTGGTACTTGGCATGCATTGCTTTGTTTTATATATTTTATATAATATATTTTATATAATAAAATATATAGGCTAGGTGTTTACAGTCATCTTTTAAAGTGAGTAGATTTTTTTTTAATTTGTTATTTTTTTATTAACATTTGAGCACCAACAGTATGCTGTGTATACCATGGGTGACAGAATTAGACACAGACCTGCCAGTTTGCCAGTTAGCCTAAACCAAACTGCTCCGGTAACCATAAAGTAAGCCATTTATTATGCTGCTTCATAAAGGCACGTATAAAGATGATAGCTTCTTTGTTCTGTTTCTACAACCATCATATTATCTAGAAAGTCCTTAGGGGATAGAGAGACAGAACACTGTGTTTTAAGTCTAGAAATGCATTTCAAGTTCTGGCCTTAATACCATTCGACTTGTAACTTCAAAAAGCCTTGATGATTCCAACAGTAAAACCTAATATTAATACATCTCTAAATATATTATATAGGTTAGGTGTTTACAGTCATCTTTTAAAGTGAGCAGATATTTTTTTTAATTCCTATGGGTCCAGCTACAACATAACAGTAATACTGATACATCTACATCTATCTATCTATAGTCATTTTGTTCAAAAAAACGCCTTGAACGTTCACTGTTCCGTCAATAAATATTGATATTTATTGCATGCTGTCTACTAGGTACTGATCTCTATGTTTGGAGTACCAATGGTGGATAAGACAAGCGTGCTCCGTTTCCTGGCCTTGTGGGAGCTGACTCTGTGTGCCAGGCATTTGCCTCATTTACTCACCTCATCTAGGAGAATGGCCAGGGCACTAGGATCTCTTGTCTGAGAACAATCTGCACTGTTCTAAGACAAGAGATCCCTCTCGTTACCATCTTGTCCAGCTGTTACCACTGTCTGAAAGCAAGGTTTAGAGCTGAGAGGGGTGGAGTTCTAGTAAAGGTGTTCCTCCCATGAATCGGGCTCCTCCCAGACAATTTTTATTCACATTGTTTTGCAGTTACTTGAATCTCAGGAGAGTGGAAGGCTATAGTTTAGACACTGTATCGCTTTCAACAGAGCACACTCCACTAGGAAATATTGTATCTACCTGCAAATAGCATTCCAGAGTCCCTGGTAGAGAATACAGTTACAGAGCCCAGGGAGAGACAGTGAATACATAGCAGAGAGCT